TCCGTACCCACTGTATATGTATATATATATATATTTACATTTTAAATAAATATATGTATATGTGATATACTCAATGAATGTGTAAATAATAATCAACTGTTTTAATATTTATCATTTATTTAATGTTAGTATTGTTTATTAGGTTATTGTCAAAATATATAATAAATATAAATGATATAAAATTTGGTGATGAACAATCTATCCAGTCAAAAATCTCAAATAAGAGATGCATATATCATGAAGAAATATAAATTCTGAATGAGATATCAATATTATGGTTTTTGCTATGTAGTACGCTTTTGTAGTATGCATACAGAGGCAAGGATGATGGCCATTTAAGGAAACTTTTTTTTTTCCCTTGTGGAATGTGGAGAGAACAGTGGGACAGTGAGGAGGATAGATGTAAACCTGTGAGTGTTGACCCGGAACAGTCTTCCCCTGCCCTGCAAGCACGGCAAGGTCGACCGTCAGAAGAATAAACTCTCAGTCCTTTTAGCCACTCGGCTGCATGGATTTAATTTTCACCATCTGTTGCCTTCATGCCTCCATGCTTTCCATTTCTGCTGCACATTCTTCACAAATTCAGTAGCTTCCTTCTTCTACATTTGTAAATGTTGTTGACTGTGGAAAGGGTCCATGTTTACTTTAAATCCCTGGCCATCTCAAGGCCTCCTCTAATCACCCACAGCTGTTCACTTCTCCTTTGCTTTCCTTGGCCCATCTCTTCAAACACACAGACTATATTTTCAATGTAAATTATAGATTTGTGACAGATTAAATAAAAAGTCAGATTGTTATTGGAAGCAACATGTCCTAGAGTAATAATGATATTTCATGTTTTTCGGGACATTTTCTTCCCTGGCATCTATCCAGAATAGAATGGCAGCTTTATTTTAATGCTGTGCACCAGTCTGAGAAGTATTATTGTGGTGAACTCACAGGGCAGATAACAGAGATGTTATTCTTTTTCATAGCCTATACTTATACATACATATATCAGTGTTGTTATTGTTAACTAAAACTAAAACTACTGAAAATCATTTTTGGTAATTGAACGTAAGCTGAAATTAAATCAAATATAAATGATAAATGAAAAAAAATGTAACTTAAATAACTTCAAATAAAAATTAATAGAATGGAAATGAGTAGAAATGCCTTGGCAACTAACTGAAATAAGTTGAGGTTGAAGTACACTGTAAAAAAAAACGAATAAAAAAAAAATATATACATAAGAAAACACTATTAATTCAGACATTTCTATGAAAAAAAAAATCTAATTTAATTCAGTGTGTTAATTGACACTTCTTTGTAGTTGTTTGTGAAATTTACCAGCAGTTTCTAAGTGACATCTGTTTTTATACCATTTTAGTGTACTACACAATTACAATTACTAAAAAATTAAAGCTATGTAGAAATTTAAAAAGAAAAAAAAGTAATATAAATGACAGAAGTGCATCACAAAATTATTTAAAAAATAAAAAAGGTGAAAATAGTATTAATAATAGTAACTGTTGTTCAATGCTATTTATATTCAACTGTTCGGTAAAGTTTATACTAAGGAACTTACGTTACGTAAACTTACGTTTAAAATAACTAACAATATTGTCAGTTACATTGTGTATTTTAGCTCAAAAATGTTCCCAAACAATTAAGCATTACACGTACCTGAGCAACATAGCTGTGTTTCATTCCTAAATGAATTGTGTTTTTGAACAAATCAGTTGAGTGGCTCAGTAACTTATCGCGACTTACTGGCGTAATTATATAACTTGCGCTGAAAATCCACACCTAATTCACAGACTGACAGCCTAATTTATACATATATTTATTTCTATTAACTGAACTCCTATTAAACAGAGATATGAAACAGATAAAGTGTCTTGTATGGTTAGTGTTAAATATGGTTAGTCGTAAAAACAAATCCTACCTGTCGCAAAAGTTCTGTGACTTCACTTCAGACGACGATTTATTTCGATGTGAACTCCAATTAAAGTTAGCTCCCAGACAACACATGATGAACTTTCCGGAGTTGCTAAACAAACACAGTTTATCACTATCTGCACTGACTTCCATTATGTTGATCGCTCCAAGATACACTGTTGACGTGTATCATGAGTGAGTCATTGAATCATTCGAAAAAACGATTCATGATTAATTCAGAAACAAAACATCCCTATTGAGTTTTTTTTTAAACTGACAAACTGGCAATACTTTGTCTAAAATGTAAGCTATTAATTTCTTATTTTTAAACTGTTCAAAAATATAGACTGTATAAAAATGCATCACATTTGCAGTAATGCTGTTCTCTTCTAAATATCAGCTTAGCTGTGTTTATATGTGGTTGATAGGCTCAGTGGCGTAGCGGACGCGATATATGGAAGGTCGGCAGGGCCAAAACGTGTGGTACTAACACGTTAACATGCGATTGCGTGTTAACATGTAATTTACGCATTAACACGCAATCGCATGTTAACGCATTAGTAGCAAACGTTTTGGCGCCAACGGCCTTCCATACGCGATAAGACGATGGGGTGCGTTTAAAGATGATATCATGTATCGACAATAGCCAGAGATATTGTCTAAATCATTAAATATTGTCATAATTAAGAGTATTTGGCATTTCCAATTAATGTAGGCCTGTTACATTCTGGCTGTTAGGTTACTTTTAAATTAATATTACAATTAATTTGCTCCACAATATTTCATAGCGCATCACCGCATAACTGACGCGCTGTGATGATAATAAAAGATTAGGCTATTAGTTTAATTTATTACTTTCAAAAACAACCTGTTCAACACAAAATACGTTCTTCTCATTGCTTTCACTATGTTCGGGCCACAAGAGAAACATTAAGGAAATAAATTAAAACAGTTAGGCTATATACCGCATATTAAGTAGGAGATTCGTCTCTCGTCATCTCTGAGAGAATATGCGCCATTAATGCGTGCGTCGTCAGATGCCGAAAGCGCCGTCAGTTTTTACTTTCACTTTCATTACTTTCACTAAGTCATAAACCATGCACGTTGCTCGCCTTCACGGTTTAAAACAGAAATATTTCCAATATCTCCAATATTCCAATATTTCCAGGATTTGCGCTACGCCTCTGGATAGGCTACTTGTAAAACTGTAGTCTGTTGATCAACTAATAAAAATTAAAAAAAAGTAATGTGGAGTGTCAAATTATGAAACAGTATTAAATTAGGTTTAGGTTAAAAGTGCAGACACTGTTTCAACTTTCATATATATATATATATATATATATATATATCAAATCATCTCAAGTATTGTTTGTTTGTTTGATTTTGTATTTTAGACTTCTGAATAATAGGTTTAACCTTTCATGTAAGAAGTTTTAGAGAGGGACCGAGCAAAGAGACCAAGGAAATGAGAAAGAGAGAGAGGCAGAGAGATTGAAAGGACGAGAGCAAAACGTATAAAGAGTCGTCTGTTCTTCTTCCTGCCTGAGGACCTCGTCTGCTCTCACCTGCTCTGTTTGGCAGCAAGTGGAAAAGCAAATTTTACACAGTCTGGGACACAAATTGGCATTCTGAACCACAGTGATTCCTTGAGTGTAATCTAATTAAAGCACACAGCCAGTGGGGTAACAGCGAGAAAAAATATCAGTGCATTAAAAAGTTCAATGGATAGAGAGACATAAAAGTGTCTGGCACTCTTCTACAAAGCCATCGTCAAATTCGCTATCTGTAACTTTACAGCTCTTACCAGGAATGACAAGCAGTGGATAGTCTGGTACATCAAGGCAACAAGAAGCCCAGACCAAAAATAGTCAAGGATATAGAGGGTCCGTATAGTTACTGCATTGCAATTTCTGTAACCGTACACCCGTTTACAACACTGCTGGTTACAGTTTCACCCAACATGAAACTTCCAATGTTATTTAAGTGACTTTAAACATCACATAACAGTTTAAACAAGCACAGGGTTCTTTGGTTTTCCATCATCCAAGAAAAAGGGATGCATAAAATCCTTTCTCCAGCTTTGAGAGCCATTGTAACTCTATAACTTGATGCAACATCTTGAATTGAGGGAGGATCAGTTGAGTTTTACGCTAATCCCTGACATTATCCTCTGAGATCTGAAATATGAGCGTAACGTGTCTTTTTGAGAGTGGGAGGAGATGATCTCAGCTGCGGTAAGGTTTAATGTTATCACACTTAAAATGCTTTAGTTCATCCAGAGATAATGTTTACCACAGAAACAAAACACCCTTGGGTTGATTCATCCAAACCTGGGGACACTGAGCTGTACAAAGAATATTTTAGCACTGTGAAAGACTGGGGGTTAGTCAGTAAAGAGGTTATGAACAGATCAGTGCTTTTCAACTGGTTTTGCTTCAGGACCCAGATTTTGCATTGGACATCAAGTGGTGACACAACACAGTACCAAACACAGCCGTATTTAATGTACTGTAGTTTTATAGATTTGTTCACATTTTTTAAGGATAAAGGGATGTGACGCAACCTGCCCATGTTAGCATTTGGATTATTTGACTGCTTTTCTATTTGACCGTTGTATTTCTGCCAAGATACAAACATTTTTGATTGCACAAATGACATAGCACCAACAACAACAACAAAAAGATATGGAAAATGTTTGTTTTTTTACAATGCATGACAATATGGTTAGCTGCAGTTTTATATATGCATTTTGCATTGCTTTCTCCTGCTATCTCCAACCCTATCTTCATCAGAATAGACATACTGTGAATCCTTTTAAAAGCTGATATGTAATTAAATAAAATTTTATTTTATTTTCAAATACTATTTTATATTATTTTTACAGTGCGTGACAACTGTTAGTTGCATTTTCATATTTGCATTTTGCATTGTTTTTCTCCAAACTTATCAGAACAGACCTGCTGTGAATCCTTTTAACAATTATTTATTTATTGATTGATTCATTCATTCATTCATTCTCAATGCATGGCAATATGGTTAGTTACACTTTCATATATACATTTTGCATTATTTTTCCCCCGCTATCTGCAGCCCTGTCAGAACAGATCTGCTGTGAACACATGCATATATCATTTTAGAAAAAGGTCCTAGGTCTCATGTTCTGCATCTAGTGCCTGTTTTTCCTTATTTGAATCTGTGTTTTAATTGCAGTTTTAGTGCTTTGGGGCAAGATATACCATGTATGAAACACACAGCCATAGCAACACCATGTAGCCTTGTATAGCCATGCGTGATTAATTACTTTAAATGTGCCTTTCAACCTTAGATAGTCTGTGAGGGCCTTCAGGCCAGGTCCTCCAAATCACAGTGGGGTGCTCTTCATTTTATATCGCCTGTAAACTAAATCAAACAAGACCCCACTGCAGCCCGTGTCCCAGATCACGCCTGTGAGGGAGAAAAAGAGAGATTGAATGAGTTGAGAATAGGTTGGTACACATCGTAAGCACCTAGATGATAGCAACATTCATGCGTGAGAGTGTGGTTGTGTGTGTGTGTGTGTGTGTGTGTGTGTCAGAATGAGTTTTTTTTTTAAATCTAAAGATGCAGAAAGTTTCCTGTAAGGGGTAGGTTTAGGGGTAGGGTTGGTGTAGGGCAATAGAATATACGGTCTGTACAGTATAAAAACCATTACGCCTATGGAGAGTCCCCATAAACCATAAAAACAAACCTGTGTGTGTGTGTGTGTGTATGGTAACGTGTTGGCATCATTGTGCCTCAAACCTCAAACCCTAACATAAATGTGTGAGCATTCTATCATGTTGGTTGTTGTATGTAGCACGGCAGTTCAGTATTTAAATGTCCGGTTAGTGGTGCTAAAAGGTTAATCGTGTTTAAAATAAAACATACCTAAACATAAATCCTACCCTAAACCTAACCGATAGTATTAACAAAAGCAAACATGAGATAAAAATGCATTTGCTGATGCAACCATGACATTTTCGCTTGAGTCTAAAAGTTACTGTGTTCACATTTCAAGGGCTGTGCCGCTGTACCAGATGAGCTACCGAGCAAGTTTACTATGTCAGAAAAACTATATGGAGCTGGTTTTGTGATGCAAATGTCAAAATGTATTCATTTTCAAATAATGCACTAATGTAGTAGTGTTTTGAGGTCATAATATAGAATAGTGCAAGAAATTGTGTAAAAACAAGTCTTTATTAATTAATAATCTGCCCCTGTAATCATAATTTGTGTGAAAAGGAATAAAGGTTGGTGTTGGTGTTTTACTGCCACTAGTGTTCATTTCAAATGGAAACTGCAGTGAATTGTATATGTATAGGTACATTTTTGGAGCATTGCAAAAGAAGCACATTTTTTTCAATGAGCATATGCTGCCTAATGAACTGATTCAGGATTCCTGAATGTTTTGTAAACAAAACGTGATCGGGTTTCACTTTATTTTTAGTTTCATGCTTCATGCTACTCTGTTTTTAGCTTCTTTTTTTCTATTATATGAGTTACAGGAAGACTGAGCCTCATAAGGTTAAAAAAAAAAGCTTGCTTCATAAAGCGAGGCAATGCCAATCTACTGTCATGCCAGCGAGGACAAACAGAGGCCCTGTGGGATTTTTGTAACAATAGCAATACATCACTGCTCCAATTAGCCCTGTTACATGCTCAATTAAGCTGTTCACATGCATCATCTGTGCCAAATATCTGTCAACACATGTACACTGATAAAAAAAACACACACATAATGAGTTTTAAAACATTACATTAGTACACATTATGACAACATTCTGTACAACGATATTTATGGTAGTGTCACGGTGCTCTTCAGTGACAATAAAAAGGTCCAGAATAATTCTCTGCTATGTTTAGCCTCTAGGCAACATTACAGGTCTTTGATCGAAGACGTATACAATAATCTAGATTTAGAAAAATAAGATTGATAAGCATTCAGCAAGGATATGATGCAGTCTTAGATATCAATATATCAGCCTTCAGTTTGCATTCTATAAGAAATCTAATCCTCCTTTACCCTGATTTGCATAGGCGAGCATGCTGCTCACTCTTATGATGGAAAATGTGACATATTCTTAATTCAAGAAGCCTCCCCCACTCTGCTAATATGTCATGGTGCATTCCCAAGGACCCAAACGAGACAGAATGAATCTGAGCGTAGATGTGGCCGCTGGGTTTCCCTCCTTCCCGTTCTCTTTACTTCCCACTCGGCTTTGGGCTTTTATTAATTTTATTTCATTATCCTAAAAAGCTCTTTTTACACCATAGCAGCGGCGCTCCACTCCCCAAGTATGAACTATGTAATTTAATAAAGCTCCATTAAAGGGAGGATTTGATTAAAAAATTAAGCTGCCACGATCACTCCCTCCCCCCACCCCAACTTAGGATGAGATCCAATATTTCACATTATGAATATGTCGAGTAGAAATTATCACCGCAGGACAAATTAAAACATTTCACGGGACCTCCGCGATGACAAGCAGAGGAGACGGATGTATAGAAAGTTAAAGAAAGGGAAAATGAAGTGTGAACTTCTTCCTTTATCTCAGGTGTTCCGCCTTTTTTCCGCTCTTGTCTTTCCCATCATGCTCCATGTTCAAATCTCTTCTCATAATTCCCCATTTTCCACTTCCTCCTGACCGAGTGCAAATCAAATAACTCAAATGGAAGTCTCTCGTATGACGACACTGCCCTGCAATTTCACGAGGACCTGAGCAAAGTCCATGCTGCGACTTTCTGGCTTCGCTTTGGAAAACATTCCTGTTGCCTGAAGTCTCTCGTATGACGACACTGCCCTGCAATTTCACGAGGACCTGAGCAAAGTCCGTGCTGCGACTTTCTGGCTTCGCTTTGGAAAACATTCCTGTTGCCTAATTGTTTATATATAGTGTAGCGACCCTTTGAAATCCCATCTGCCCCGCCGTCCAGCCAGAACAAGCACGCTGTGTGTACTCACTGATAAAGAAAACGTGCGAGCTGTCGATCGCCATCGGTCCCGAGCGAGATGGTAGGATTTCCAAAAAAAAAGCATAAAAGCATTTTGGCAATACAGTTTTGGAGGAGAAACATAATCTGTGCAATTAATGCCTGAAAATTATAGCCTGGATCTAGGAGTGGTTTGAAGCATAAGTTATTGATTTTGAAATGAAAACCTGTACTCTTCAAGGTTAAATCCAGTCTACCCTCATTACGGCTCCGTCCTTGAGAGGACCCACATTAGGGGCCACAGCAAGGAGGAGAGAGGGGCTGCTTTAATGAAGGTGAATTTAATAGGATTTAATGTAGCTGGGGGCAATGGAACAGCAGAGATAGGGTTTTAACAAAGAGCCGGGGAGCAGGGGTACAGCCCAGAGAGCAGCCACTTTCCATTCTTTTTATTTATTTCGCCATTCAGCCAGATGGGATGAAAGCACACCATGTCTTAGTTGTAAGTGGGTCCCGCGAGTCAGCACTTACTCTTTGCTCTGGAGTCAAGCTGGCAAAAAAGAACCCCAGCTTTTCCACCCCTGTCATCTACACAGCCTATACAGACCAAAATAACATGATACAATTTTTTATCCCCGATCTGTTCCACACACATAACCCCTTCAACCTGAGCCGAGGACGATGGGACGTAACACACTGTGCCGTCCAAGTATCTGACGGTCCATTCCAAAATTCTTCTTGAAGAATGCATTTAAATGATTTACGAGCCACTGATGTGAAAGACACACTCATTTTGCAAACGCTCAGCACGTCTTGGCTCCCGTCAGAGTTGTGGAATAATTGTTTTTATTGTACGACCGAGTTTAATTTCCATTCCACGCGATCCATTGTCTGCTGCAGCATAGCGTAACCACTGCGCTCTTTCTTTTTCTTTCTTTCTTTCTTTCTTTCTTTCTTTCTTTCTTTCTTTCTTTGACATTGTCAGACAGTGTTAGTCACTCATATTTACATTTACATTTACATTTAGTCATTTAGCAGATATCATATCAGATATCATATCATGCATATCTTTGACCAGGGGTTATACCAGTTTTAGTTTAAAAGCATTGATATACTATTATGGTTAATATTTTAAACTAGATTTTATTTTCATGTTTTTTTTCTTTGTTTGTGTGTTACAATTTATTTATTTATTTAAACATGTCTATACGTTTTTTATTAAGTTTTAGATTGTAGTTTTAGTTTTTTTTTGTTTGTTTATTTTTTGTTTATTTGTTTGTTTTTAGTATTTCAAGCTTAAAAATAAACAAAATGAAATCTTTTTTTTTTTACTTTATTTTATACATAAATTTTATTTTTTTCAAGTAAGAAAAAATGTTTTCTGGTTATAGGTTTTAGGTGTTCTGTTTTCATTTTAATTTTGTATACGTTTTTTATTAAGTTTTAGATTGTAGTTTTAGTTTTTTTTTTGTTTGTTTGTTTTTAGTATTTCAAGCTTAAAAATAAACAAAATGAAATCTTTTTTTTTTTACTTTATTTTATACATAAATTTTATTTTTTTCAAGTAAGAAAAAATGTTTTCTGGTTATAGGTTTTAGGTGTTCTGTTTTCATTTTAATTTTGGTTAAAGGTTTAGTAATTTTGTTGTGTGCTTTTGTAATATTTCATTTTTTATTTTTTAATATATCTATATACTTTTTCATTAGGTTTTATTTTTGTAGTTTATTTACAGCTATACTTAGCAACTTGGTAACTATAACTGAAATTAGGAAAAAAAGGTTTTATTTATTGTTTGTTTGTTTGTTTGTTTGTTAATTTTATTTCAAGTAAAGAAAATATTTTTATGGTTATAGATTTCATTTTTACACTTTCTGTTTTCATCTTAATTTTATTTAATGTTTTAGTAATTTTGTTGTGTGCTTTTGTTTTTTTTGTTTTTTTTTTGTTTTTTTCTTTCGTGATTATAATTATGCATAAATATGTCTTGTTTTTTTTTTTTTTCGTTTTAGTTTATTTATCTTTAATTATTTCAGTACTTTGTCTTAAACTAAACAAACATTAGATTTTGCCTAGGCAACTACCTATAATTAAAGTTTTTTAATGGTATTAGTTTTAGTTAGTGATAATAACCCAGGGTTATACTCGTGCCTCCGGCTGCTTTTCACAAAAGATCCCAGACAAACGGCGATTCAAGGAGTTGTCAACTTTCAGACCTGCTTCCATAATTAATTGTGTGTAGCTTGCATAACAACTGTTGAGGTCCCATCGGATGAGTCAAGCTGCACAGTATAGCGCTGAGGTCACATCTCTCTCAGCCGTGCCCTCCGCTTCTCATGTGCTTGATGAAAACAATGTGTGCTCTCTGCAAATAACATTAAACAGCCCGCTTCTACAGTAATGCCCCATAAATATGCCCAAATCTTGAAAACCAAAAATAATTACTTTCATACCTTGTACTGAGGCCGTCGCACAGGTTCATTTCTCTTCTCAATCCCCCAACTCCACACACTTTTCTCATTCCAGCCTCACAAATCAGCCTCCACCGTGAATGCAGAGTTGGGATGCTTTAAAGAACACAAACAACACATTAATTAGAAGTGTCAGCGCAATGAAATTGCTCATCGTTTTCTCTGTAAAGTTTCATAAAAATTACACATCACTTGTATTTTACCCATGCCTGGCAGACAGTCTCGTCTAAAAATTAATTACAGTTCATCTCCAACTTATTTTACTCACTTTCCCTTTGAGAAAAACTCCTGAGATGAGTTCACCCGACGCGCTTATGTTGAATAATACCACTCCGCATTTTAATCAGCAAAACACACTGTTGATGCATTGCTTCAATCTCAGAGGGGCCGCTCAAAACTTTAGAGGAAAACAAGCACTCCGTTGCTAAGAGGTCAAACTCGGGGTATATAATTAAAGACATACACCTAGCACAGTGGTGGGTACGTGAGAGGCATAATTAATGTACAGGCATGCGCTTCCAACTCACTGATCTTCTGCCAAGTTCAGCATGTGTGGACATGATGCTCCAGCCAAGGGCACTGCTGTAATGATGGACGGGGCCAAGACGTCCTCCAAGACTCAACTTGCCCTTTAAACGTTTGCAGAGCAACAGGGATAGCCACACGACAGGGAAACCCCAAGTGTCAAAGGTCACCGAGCATCTTAAATGTGAATAGAGTAGGAATGGAGTTCGAGCCCCTGTGAGCAATTCAAAACTATTTCCTTTCACTCTTAAAAATTAAGGTTCGTTATTGGCATTGAAGGGTCCATGAACATCAACGGAACCTTTCCATTGTGCAGAAGCTTCTTTATAGTGGAAAAAAGTTCTGTAGAATTTTAGAACATTTTAGAAAAAAAGTGGTTGTTTTAAAATCTGTTCATTGAAAGCTTCTTTTGTGGAGCCAAAAATGTTTTTTTCTCTTGCATCATTACATGATTTCATGTACTGTACATATTGTATTTTTAGGAAATGGTTATGGTTAGGTTTAGAGGTAGGAGTGGGATTAGCAATGTAAAAAAAAAAAAAAAAAAAAAAAAAAATCTAATTTTTTACTA